GCTGAGACAGAAGGAGCACAAGTGTGAGCTGCATAGCAAGACCCTGTACCAAATAAAGAAAGAAAGAGAAGAAGATTATAAAAGCTTAAGTTAATGTGGGTTGTATGTTCAAAATACTATAGAGACTGATACAAAATTATTTAATCAAAAAAACTGATAAAAAACCAGCTAAGTGATAAAGTTAACTTTTATTAGTTTAATTTCTAATTATTCTTAAGAGAAAATTGTGGATGATGAAGGTAGTGATTAGGGGAGGGGAAATATAGGCAAGAAAATAAAACGTAGAAGAAGTAAGGTTCAGACATTTTTTTTTCCTGAAACAGGGCCTCATTCTGTAATTCAGGCTGGCTTTAAATTCACTATGTAGCACAGACAGCAATCCTCCCACCTCTGCCTCCTTAGTACTGAGATTACAGGCAAGTGCTGGGATTACAGGTATGTACCACAACATCCAGCAAGCAAGGTTGAAACTTGAGACTAATCAATTTAGAAAACTATTTTAAATATACACAGACTCATAACATTCTTCTACTAGGGATTTTTCTTAAATGTTCTTTAAAAGTCAGTTGTAAATGTGTTTACTTTTAATATATTTAACTGTCTCATTACAGTTAGCTACAATTTAAAAACTCAAATTGCCAGTTATCCTACTGTATGGTACAGAAATACAAGCCAGAGAATCACTCAAGAAGAAACAAACAGAATCCTGTACTGATCCTCTAACTGCTACAATACTGGTGGTGACTGCAAAGGAAGTTGGTATCTCATCAAAAAAGGACTGACAGAGGAGCTGGGGAGATGGCTTAGTAGAATAAGTGCTTCCCTGACAAGCACAAGGGCCTGAGTTCAATCCCAGTTCTAGGAGAAAAAAAAAAAAAAAAGACTGACAGAATCAGGATTATATAAATACAAAAGCACTGTAGCAGTAATACTTTTTTAGTTTCAGGGTTGCTTAGAATCTTAGGGTTTTTTTTAAGTAAAGAAGCCTACTGACATTTTTTAAATATTCACTCTTATGGGATTAATCACTTCTGTATTTATAAATGTGCCATAATATGGACCATTTATCATCTCATTAAACAAGACATTTACTAAAGTTTATAGTCAATCAAAACTGATCATTAAGGAAATGGGAAAATCATTTTTTTAACTTTTATCAATATTGAGATTCTATTTATACAATGAAAGCCTATGGATAACAAAAAGCCCAACCAATACCCTCAGCAAAATGAATACTTCAACAATTTTAATGTGCAATATCATTATCAATTTTCTAGACTTGAATTAAAGAATATGTGAATAAGAAGTAAATTAAGCTAGCTGATTATAGTTTAAAAATCTAAATAAAGTATCAATGACCATGAAATCAAAATAGTATCTGTTTCATATTCAAAGGTACAAATTCAACTTAGTAGAACAGCTGGACTTACTGCATTATACTACAGGAGACAATGATTACAGTGGTTAAGAAGTGACCTTCAGATACTGCTCTCCAGATGTCTTAAGAGTCCAGTTTTTTATTCAAAATATTTACCCTACTTAACAATTAAAATCTACATCCATAGAAGACTCTACTTGAAACAAGCTCATATTCTCTCTCCCTCTCCCCAACTCTTTCACTGTCTCCTTCCCTCCCTCTCTCCCTTTCATCAAGTTTTAACACTACAGACATTGTGGGAAAACTTTTAGCACTCAACATGTACCAAGGGCCACCTTATGTTCTGATGCACTTCATGAGAAGAAACAATTTTTAGAACATACTTACAGAAATTCTTATGTAAGAAATTCAGGAAACATTTGCTTTCATTATGTGAGAGTATGAAAAAATGACTTAAACTAATGTACAATGCACAACAAATGCACCCTACAAGCAACTATCTACAGATATATGCCTACACCAATCTCCCTACAAATTAAAATTTTATGTTATTTCTGGTAATAAAAGTGGTTTTAGGTGTTTCAAAAGTTCAAACATCTATTAAGATACACTTTGCCTTGGCACTAGCTCCCCCTCCAGACCAACCTACTAATACAACTGCATTTACACACACACACACACACACACACACACACAGGTAAAAAACACACATAAGCACACAAGTTTTTCCTACCCACTAGCAAATCTCAAACTTCATCACTTTTAAAGACATTTTTATTCCTTACAAATAACTGGGTAGTATTTGAAACAAAATACTGCAGAATGCAATTAGAATGACTGTTGCAGTTCTACAAATCTTAAACAGGGCTTTGTAAGAAAACAACTTTGTGACTTTTTACTTAAATTCAAGAACATTCTTAAAATACAATCTACACAGTGTCATATTCAAACTGTTCTAAATCCCTGTCCTAGTAAACCATAACATACCCTTCATGTTAACTCACCATTTGATCAGACATATTTTTACATCCGTTTCTGCAATCTATGCAAGTTCCATCCCAGCTGCTAAGCTCTTTAATTCAAACAGAATTCTCAATTTATATAGTAACAAAATCCATGCCTCCAAACCATCTTTATATATTCTTTATAACCTAATCATCTCTAACTCATTACATTTTTTCCATACGACACCTATAAAATCACAAGTTCAAATACTTCAATTTCTTTCCCCTTTAATACCGTAGTCTTTATAAATAATGAATTAAAATCTTCATACAAAGTATTTCATGAGGACAGCAACGTACAAGATCTGATTATCTGGCATAAGGTTTCAGTTTGTTTTAAGAGAGACAACTTAATCCATTATTTTAGCAAATTTCTCTCCTACTTTTTATATGATGTACCTCTAAAGATTTATGAATAAAACATGATACTTAAATTAAGAAAAAAATGTATATGCAACCTTACCCCAGGAATAACAATAAAGAACTATAGTGCAACCTGCTTAGTTTCTACAGAGACAAGTCAAAGTTAAGTCGGTTACTTGTTTAATGTTTAAGTTTAAACGGATTAAAAAAAAAAAAACAACTTTGTTTTATTGGTCCCCCTGCCCCAACCCTAGAGGTTATCTACTGGGGTCTAGCTTTCCTTGGGTACGCTTTCTCGGGTTCAATTAAGTAAACTGTTAAACATAGAAAAGAAAAAACTCCACCTATTTTATCCAAGGCCTCAATCTAACGGGTCAAAGAGGGCACGCAACATTAAGAGCTCACCAGGAATAACCCTAAAGTGACAATGTCATTTAACTTAAGAAATACGTTAGGTCTCAGAACATTTCCGCACGTACAGCGAGAACAGGTGCTGCACCCAACAACGCACTCACGTGCAGAACAAACCTCCCGGAACTGACTCAGGTGGACCCGGTTACCCTTCCTAAATGTTTCTAGACCCAAAGCCTCCAGCTCGAAATTTGCACATCAAAAGAGGGCACCGAGGCTGTCCCGCAGTCCACCGCCCAGCACCAGCCCCACGCGGGGAGTGAACCTTTGTGCGCGTTCCTTCCCTGGTCCTGGCCCGAGAGCCCACATAGAAACCCCGTAACGCACAGCGTCCCCCTTGCCATAGTCTGTGACTACCGGACCCAACTACGGACAACAAGGAAGGTGCGTGGGGCGGAGGACCAAGACACAGCAGGGACACCTCCCGCCCCCGCCCCCGCCCCCACCGCTGCTCGCCCCGCGGCTGCGGCCCCAGCCCGAAGCAGGGATGCGCGGCGCGGGGAAACCGAGGCGCCGCCGCGCGTCCCGGCCACCGGGGATGCCCCCAGCCCTGCCCACACCGCGCGAGGCCCCGCCAGGGCGTCCCCGAGTCTCCCTCCTACTTTTCTGGGGTCTGCTGGATAAGCAGCAACAGGCCCGGGGGTCGCCGGGCAAAGACAGCTCCGCAGCCTCCAGAGCCCGCGCTCGCCCGGCCCGAGACCCCGAGGCGCGCGGGGCCCGGCGTCCTGCGCCCCCTTACCCGAGGCGGGAGCCCGGCGGTCGCCGCCGTCCCCCGTCGCCGCCGCCGCCGTGGCCACAGCCCTCAGCCGCAGCCGCCCGGCGCTGGGGGAATGGGAGGGGAGTCTGGGTGGAGGATGCTTCTCCCGACCGAAGGGAGAGGAAGAAACGGAAACAGGAACCGCGGCCGCCGCTTAACGGAGCCTCCGGCGCCACTGCCTGGGCGAGAGCGAGAGCGCGAGGCAGCGCGAGCCGGGCAGTCCCTGACAGCGCGAGACCGACACCGAGCGCGAGCCGGGGCCAGGGCGCGCGACCCCGAGCAGCGCCGGCCCCATTCCGCGAGGAGAGGGAGGGGACCGGCCGGCAGGGGGCCGGGCGGGGGGCGGGGGCCGGGAGCCGAGGGAACCCGGCTCTCGGGGCGGCCGGAGAGGACGCGCGCACGCGCCGGAGCGGCTCCGACCACGAGCGCAGGCGGGGAAGCCTCGGCCGGCGCGAGCGGGCGGGCGTGGGGGAGGGGGCGCGCGCCCCCCGGCGTTCCGGGCTTCGGGGAGAGGGCGCGCATGCGCCAGCCGCTGCCTCCTTTCGGCGTCCCTGGCATGTGCCGAGGTCCTCCCCGCCCCCTTCCTCGCTGCGCCCCGGGGTAGCGTAGCGGCAGCATCCGCGCCGCGCGGAGCCGCGGGCCACAGCGGGACGGCGGAGTTCCAGCCTCCAGCCGGGCGGCGGCGGCGCGGGCTCGCACACGGGCGCAGGCCGCCCTCTACCGCCTGAAGGCCGGAGGCTGAGGGGCGCGCCGAGCAGAGCCGCTTCTCGTAGCGCCAGGAGACGGCCGCCCGTGCCCCCGCGGCCCGCGGCCCTGAGGCGCCCCGCGCCCGGCTCGAGGCCGGCGCCTGGCCCCTCGCGCGCTGCGCCTTCTCAACAGCGTGGCTCCGGCATCTCATCTGCGGAAGCTCGTTTTCCACGTTCGCTCGAAGAATAAGACCCACACACACACACACGAGGGCCTGAGTTCGACGCCCGGCCTCCCCCGACCCGCGGCTGCTACAGCCCGTCGGAGGCGGAAGTTTATTGAGAAGGGGGAAAAAAACACCACGGGAAGGGAGGAGGCTTTGCCCTAGGATGCTTCCTACCCGCTCGGACTCGGGAAATTCCAGGCGCCCGCGATGCAGAGCTGACGGCCGAAGAGGAGCTACCTCGGGCCAGCCCAGACCGCGAGCTAAGCGGGAGGACCCGGGTGCTACGCCTGGGCTTAAAAAGTACTCGCCGCCAAGGGGGTGCCGTCCGGACCAATCACAGCTGAGAGCCGCGTGAGTGGAGTGCGAGCCAGCCAATCAGAGAGCTGCAAGATGAGCTTCCCGTTCCAAACTCTTCCCTGTAGCCTCCGGACCCAGATCCCGGGACTGGAGCGCTGTGAGGTGAAAAGGCGGAATAATGCCCTCAAGACCAGAATGCTTGCTCACCCGAGGGTCAGTGTTTTTAAGTAAATACTGTCGGTACTTATCCCAGAGGAAATACTGGCGGCCTTGTAGATGCTAAGTACTAAAGGATCCCAGAAAAGAGATTTAAGAGGCAGTCCCCTGCCAACAATGCAATCAACCTAATAACGTTCGTAAAATTTACGGTATTTATTGAAATTCTTCTAGGTCAGGAACGGTATTAGAGACACAAACAAGACACTGATGAGTCAAAGAAAAACCCCTGTCCTGAAGAGCTCTGGTTCTGAGAGGTTCTGCTGGACCTTATAACCCTGGTATTTTGTCAGCTCTAAATAAAAAGCATCTCGTGAAATAATTCGCATAATTTTTTATGATAGTTATCGTCTTGTAAAAAGAGAAAATTGAGAGGAAAATAGAGGGACTTATCCAGGATCACACGAAAATATACACTGGCAAGGCCAGAATTCCAACGCAGAGAGTTCGAGGTTTACCCAGGATCTAATGCACGGTATTAGACAATATATGAAAATAACAAATGATTTTGTGTCTGGGCCACACTCAGGAACAAGTTTTTCAACAGCTCTCCCCTCTGCTCTGTTGAGACAGTGTATTTCTCAACCAATAACAACACACCCATCATCGCAGCCCTTTCTAGGGCATGGCCAGGATTTAGCTGTATCCCAGAACTAGAAGTATAAGTTAACAAACCTTAGAGTACAGATCTTTACATACTAAGTTCCAAGCCAGTAGTGACTGTCCAGAAAATTCATTTATGTCAGTGCTTATCCTGCCTCTTCCAGTGTAGACAACAGTCCTAGCTTTTAAAAACTACATTTCTAGCTGGGCATAGCTATAATGCCAGCACTCAAGAGGCTGAGGCAGGAGAATCCCAGAGAATTCAAGCCCAGGCTTGTACTACAAAATCAGTTCAAAGCTAGCCTGAACTATAGAGAAACCCTATTTCAAGAAAACAAAAATAAAAATCACTAAAAACATTTGTTTGACTAAGACTGTGGTGGTAGAGCACTTATCTACTGGGTGCAAGGCCCTGGGTTTGATCCCTTGCACTGGAAGTAAAAAAATTCTATTCTCTTCAAAGAGAAAAAGAACAATTCTGAAATTCTGCCTTTCTCTTGCCAGGTTAAAATTTTCAAAGAGAAGAAAGCATCCCAGGATAGTTGTTAGCATCACTGGCTGCCATCAAAGAGCACCATCACCATTAAAGGTATTTTGCACACAACTGCCAGCCTCTGTGCTGTTGGAACCCCTTCTCTCCTCACTCCAGCTATTTACTTCCACCTCTCATCACCCCCGGTTTCTGATATTCACTTAAGCAAGAAGTATTGTACCCCTCTCCCACTGCTTCCTCACCAGTCTGAGTTGCAGGCCTATCTTTGTTTATCCTAAAAGTTACAGACAAGTTCTACACAACAAAAGATAGCATGGAACATTTTCCGTGACCACTTACACTAAGAATCTGCAGGCTTGTCAGTATGTTATTTTCTTTTGTGAAAAGAAAATTGGTCAGCCCAGATCAATCCTTAGTCATCAACCAGAGCTATGGGTACTTGGGTATGTGGCAAGGAGGATTCAACTCTTACACAGTGGAAAAAGCAAAATGAACGTTAGGGTACATGAGTGACCACTTTATTGAGAGAATAGCTAAATCAAAGTTAATGAACTTGAGTGCTATCGCATTTCCTAAGTTGTGAACATTCATGTAGAAACTGGTTTGAAATTTACTACCATTTTATTATGATCATAATTTTTTTAAAAAATGGCCGAAGTATAATATGGCTGAGCACAAGGCCCCATGCTGAAGCTCTTTACCTCCATCATTTAATCTTCAAATCAAATCTTTGAGGTAGATCCTGTTATTATAGTGGGAAAATCAAGGGGTCCATAGAGGGCTTAAGGCCCTCAGGAGATGCAGCAGCAGCAGGTGCTTCGCAAATAGCTTAGAAATGTTTCCATCTCAACTAGTGTGAACCAAGTGAATGGGAGCTCTGGAAGCATTCTTAACGATTTTTAATTATTCTTGACCTATATAATTGTTACTGTTAATACATTTCATTTATACTACTCCATTTTTCAGGAAAATGTACAAAAAGTAGCGCTGTTGTTAGCACAGGCAAGAAGGTGTAAGCTTGAAGAATGATTTTTGCCCATTGGGACCTCTCTCTTTTCATCTGTAAAATGAAGGGGTTGGTCCAGGTAAATTGTAGCTGTTTGCCACTCTAAAATAACAAAGTTAGCCAGCTTGACACACCACTGACATTAACTACCAAAATGAAATATGGAAAATTGGTCTACATATTCAAATCCAGTAAGTGTTTCAAGTCATTTCTGAGCCAAGTTCTTAAGTGCAAAGTTTGCACCTACTCATTAAAAAGCCAAAACATCTTTCCCATCAAAAGAGTAAAAGAAAAAAATAATTAAAAAAATAAAAATAAAAAAAGAGTAAAAGAAGTGATTGATTTAAAGGCTAATGAAACTAGCCAGACTTTCTCCCCCATGACTTACCTCCATGGCTGAAATTTCTGCCTTCTTTAGTGGGCTAAAGTAGCAGATTCTAGGCACTATTGATTTCTTACTCACTATCCACTCCCTTTTCTTTCCTTATTTATAGAGTTTCTTGTTCTTATTTTTATTTGTTTGTTTTTTAGGTAACCACCCAAACTCCAGCTACAGCAGGGCAACTCAATTAATCTGAATCAATCAGTAAATGGATTCCCAAAATCATAGAGACATGCTTACCTTCTCCTTCCAAGCAGTAAGAAGATTTTACTTTCCCACAGCCAACCCAGATACCGCCTCCCTTGCAGCTAGGCTGGACCATGAAACACATTGGAGCTCTAGTCTATAGTGAGTTGTGGGTAGACATGAGTGTCTTTGCAAGGTGCAATAAACATGCAGGAAATGATGCTGTCAAGTGTGAAAAGCAGGCTTGCAAAAACATTGTGACATGTCCTCATCCACCTTACTTACCAGATCTGGCATCCTGTAACTTCTCACTCTTCCTCAAAGTCAAAATGACCCTAAAAAGTAACCATGTGGAATCAATTCTGGACAACCAGGCAGCTACAACAGAACAACTAATGATGCTCACAGGAGGGCTTCCAGAACTGTTTCAGAGATTGGCGACAATTATGGGATAAGGGAAGGGGGCATTCCACATGGGTTGATGAGACTCTGTCTTTTAGTGTAATAAATGTAAACACCCTGTTTTTTCGATCACACTGCCTTCATGTCACTTCCAGGTGGAGCACCTAATTGTCAAGGTAGGTCCTCACAGGTATACTGCTCCCCTGCCTCAGGATCAGTGTTGATGGTGATAGTCAAACTCTTAGCCTAGCATCTCTATCAAGCACAGAGAAGAATAGCCCACACTCCCCCACTGCCTGCCCCCAGGTAGTGTAAGTGATAAACCTTAGTTGTTTAAGCCACTAAAGCTTGGCGTGTTTTTCGCTGCACTATGACCTTGAATCCAGCTTATGTCACGCTGGCATACACTAGACTTAATATTCTTTGACTGTTCTAATAACTATACCTGAAAACCATTATCCTCCTATGGTATTTTGGCCCCATCAGACTAAGGGAAGGATCTTTTAGATCATGCTAAAGGAAGAGGGTTCCCTCCTGCCAGGTATGAATAAGTGAGCCTATAAACAGGATTGCTACAGGCAACAATATCATAGCCACAACAGGTACTAACATTAAAATGAGAATATACTGAGAATGGCATAGACAAAGAATAACCCTTGAAGATAAGATTGAGCCAATAATCCTATCTCTCCTGAAGAGTATACTTCTTGGACTTTCATGTATGCAAAATAGTAATTTTATTTGCCTGTTCCTCTATAACACTATAGTCAATAAATACATTTTATGTATCTTTAATGTCATCACATAACAGATCTACTTCAAGAAGTCCTCAAAAATATTAAATGTGTTAAAATGTTTTAAAATACAATAGCTCACAGTGTTGCCTTCAGAAATAGAATAAATATTAACTCTATTACCAAGGGGGAAGTAATTTGATTCAATCCAGTCTTTTTAGATGAAAAGATTAAGACCCAGAGATAACTACAAGGTTTATTAAGTTCACATAGCTTTGTTATGGCAGAATGGGGGCGGGGAGTAATAACTGCTTCATGATACATTACCATCATTGCCAGGTGGTACATGTAATCCCAGCACTTGGAGGACAGGCAGGAGAATAACACTGTTCAAGGCCAACAGGGCTGCATAGCAAGACCCTGTCCCAGAAAAGAAAAGAAAAAAAAAATCATCATTTCCAACTCAAGGTAGAGAAATATTGAAATTAAAAAAGGTATAGTTTACTCACTAGCTATGTGAACTTGAATAAGTTACTTAACCTCTATGATCTCTGGGTTTTTTTTTTTAATCTATAAAATGAGATAATAAGCTCTAAGTCCATAGAGCTATGAGAAAAAAATGACTCCATACATTAAAGGCACTTAGTATAATCCCTTACACATAATCATCTATAGCCCTGTTAAATGATGTTTATTTGTAGCTAACTCATTTTCATCCACTGGGTAGATCCTGTTTTCCTTCACTGTGCATTCCATTCAGGCCACTGACCTGAACACATGTATAATTGTGTGTAATCCCCTCCAGAAGCTGCTTCTTTCCTTCCCACGTTGTCACCATGATGGCGGTGGAAGGATCAGTGTTCCTGCTAAGCAGGTCTTAGCCATAGCTAGTTGAGCAGGAGAAGCCATTCCTCCAGGGTATTTAGACTTAGGGAGTAGGGGCGGCCAAATAGCTCAGCAAATTATGCACCAGCAAGCAGGTGCAGGGAGCCTGAGGTTCGATCCAAAGGCCTGCTGCACCAGCCCTGCCCCCAGGGCGTGCTGAGATGGCAGTTGAGACTGGGCATGGTGGCACGTGCTTGCAATCCCAGCTCTTGGGAGGCTGTAAAAGATGGATCACTACGAGTCCAATCTAGTAGTGAGACCCTGAACACCCTGTAGACCCTTCCCCAAAATTTA